CCCCGCCGCCGCGCGGGACAAGGGCGGCGCTCCCCTGACCCCCGCCTGCGCTCTGCCAGGTTACGCCGCGTTCGGGCCGGGCTCGGCGCTCGGCATCTTCCCGGCCTACCAGCACCTAACGCCCCCCGCCTTGGTCTCCTGGAACTGGTGAGGCTGCCGCGGGGTGCCGGGTTACCCCGACTTTGGATGCGCTTGTGCGGCCGCAATGGGGCTACAGCCAAAGACCTGGAGCGCTCGGGGGGCGCAGCGTGGCAGGACCCCTCCTCGCGGACCCCACCTTCGGGAGTCCTTGGCCCGCCTTCACCTGCTGTTGTGGACGCGCTCGCGGGGGTCCTTGGCCAAGATCGCCCCCTGCCCTGGGACCGCAAACACCAGAGCTAGATGTTATTGCTTGAGACTTACTTGTATATTTTTAAAATAGTTTGTATGGAAAGCAACTTATTTTAAAAGAAATAGAATATTTTTTTTTCCTTTTTGTTGTGCGAGAGTAAAATGTGTAGTTTGGGTCCCCTGCGCTCCTGCCGGGTAAGAAGGTGGGGGCCGTACTCCGCAGACTGGAGTTCTGAGTGCCCGCCTGCTCTAGTGCCCACTGAGGGCGCAACCCCGGTTGGGGTGAAGGCCGAGCATAGTCCAGGAGAATGCGGGGTGGTGGAAGGGAAGGAGTTGAGGCGATCTCGAAGACAATGGTCAGGGGGCAGCGGTGCTGGCCCCAGCCTGACACTGGGGCCCCTTTGGGTTCCCCGAGCTGCAGGCATTGGAAACACCAAAAGACAACCGGGTGGCCGCGAGGAGGAATGACAAGCTTTTGCCCTAGACTGGGAGCTCTCCAGCGGGGCTGGGTGGGAGCCAGCGTGGGAGTGCACCACTTCAGGGCAGCTTGGGACGCTCAGTTAAGCCCGTTCTGCTGTGATTTCCTGCCTCGTAATGACACAGCACCTCCCTAGGGTAGGGTGGGGTGGGGTGGGGGCAGCCTGATGAAAATAAAAAGGTGGCAGTGAACTCTTGGAGTTGAGCTGTGCCTCAGGGCCGTCCTGCCTGAGGTAGATGAGGGATGATCGCCTTGGTGACCCCACATCGGGCGGGATCCGCTGGTTGGCCTCCTTTCACCCAGCTGCTAGGACACTCTAGGCTAGGGGTTTGCCACTGCTCTTCTTCAGCTCTGTATATGGAGCCATAGGGTCTCCAATGTAAGCATTCACCATCTGGGGAGAAGGTCCGGCAGCCCCCCTGGCACCAGCTACAGAAGATGCGCTAGCGGGGAGCAGTTCCCAGGCGGAATGGAAACAGAGATGGGAACACGGACCCGGATGAGGTCTCTGAGGAGCGTGTTAGGGGCCTTCGATTTCTCATCCGAGGAGGAGGAAGGGGTGGAGGCAGTGCTATCACCTGGGATTGGGGAGAAGTTAGGGGGAAGAGAGTGGGGTGTTTGGGTCTCAGCTGCTAGCCACCTTGCCTTCCATATGGATGCGGTTATCTTAGAAGAATCTCGATCCTTAAACCCCCTTTTGTCTTGGGAGCTGAAAAGGGCATTGTCAGTCCTGAAAAGGACCTAGACAAAATCCGCACTGTTTTGATTCAGGACTCTGTTTAATCAGTCCCTGGTGACAATGTAGTGGGTGTTAGGCAGGACAATAGTATCTTTTTAAACCTTGTGGCCTTCAGGAAGACAAAAGACTTGAATTTTATGGGCTTACAACTTCAATTAGAACAGTGCCAGTGTGCATGGGAGATTATCACATTTGTATCATAAAACCCCTTTCTAATAAATGATTGCTGGGGAGGGAGCCTGAACATTGTAAGACATATACTGAGATCTGCCAGGGGCTTCCCAGTTAGCCCTGGCAGAGCAGATGGGAAAGAAAAGAATGAAAGGATTTCTGAAGAGGTCCTGGGTTGGGACTTGCGCCTATGGTCAGCTGGCTGGGTGCTTGGATTCTTCATGCTCTTCCTCCAAGAGTGGGGTCAAAGACTTGAAGCTTGTTTAATGCCATTGCTACTGACAAAGGCCTGAGTATTCTTGAGGAGGGAGTTAGAAAGAAAATATTGTCTACTTCCGCACCTTTTCTCTTGCTAGAGCTGTAGACAATGTAGATCTCAGAGGGCCTGTTGAATGTGAGGACCTTAGGACTAAGGGATTCTGTTTTGGAGAGGGGATCTCTACCAGGAGGCTTTTGGGGAGAATGTATCCTCCATGAAATTCTTCACAGTCCTAAATGGTGAGCCAGATGTCTAACTATAAGGCATTTGGTTGCTTTCCAGCAAAGCAGTTAGAGTCCAGGCAGGATGCCCACCCCGAGAGTGAGAGTGAGAGCGAGCTGTCCCAGGCCAGAGGAGGAACAGCAGGGTCCGATGACGGTAGCACCAGGAACCAGAACTGAATGCACTGATGCCCTCTGCCTTTTGCTGCTTTTGTTTAGGCTGATAGGATCTTTTGTTTAGAGAGGAAAACCCACAGGATAGCGTGCAAAACATACCCCCACCCCATCAGTCCATTTTAGAGACTCAAACTGTCATATTTTTTCCTGTTCATACCTGAAAAAAAGCTGGAAAAGGTGAATGTTAGTTTCTTTTGTGACCTACAAGGTCAGTTTTTCCAGGTTCTGGTAGATGCTGCATCCAAGGCCTCTCTTTTAGTAGCTGTGAAAACAGGGTCTCCCCCTCCACAGATGACAGTATTTTGGACCTGTCATCCATCGTCAGCATCACAAAGCATGTTCACACAGAAAACTTTTATTGAGACTTATTGTGTTCCAGGCATTTTTCAGTTTATTCATACAGAAATTTTACTAGCTATCGACCCGTCTATGTATCTCCCATTTTACAGGTAAGAAACTGGGGGTCAGTGTCTGGGAGGAGGCAAATGACTTGCCCAAAGTAGTTCTGAACCTCAAAGACTGTTACCATTGTCCTCAACTTAACCACCCTAACAAGTTGCCCTTAAGGAGAACTGCCATATATATGGCAGCTATTTAACCAGGTAACTATGTGTTTTTCATATTTACAGATAACCTGCCTAGGATACTTAACTGAAACACCAAAAACAGATAAACAGAGTTAACAAAATATTTAACCACGCTACATACACACACACACACACACACACAATGTTACAACTATCATAAACTATCTTATGGATAGTCTGGAAGGATCTGAAAGCACATGCAAAGCACTGTGCACAGTTCAGAGCCACTCTCAGAGGCTGGTCACATAGCACAACAGTTGCTAACACTTGTACCAGGCAATATTTTAAGGTCTTTTCCTTGTACTAACTCATTCAACTCCGTAAGACAGTTCTACTATCCCCACTTGACAAAGGAGGAAACTGAAAGTCGAAGAGGTGAGCAGTAACTGATCCGGGGTCATATAGCTAGTGAGTGACAGGCGTTGAACCCAAGCACTCTAACTCCAGATCTCGCACCTTTGACCAGTGGGAATTATTTCCCAATTTTAATGTTTTACTGCTCTCAGTTCACAGTCTTAGTTACCTTCTTCACAGACACTTCTCTAAAGACCTGCTCTTTAGCATCTGTCTCTGCTCCTCCCCACGCCCTTACCCTCCTTCTACCAAAGCTCCAGCTTTTGGACACAGCCTCAGTGTTTCCCCTAGGCCTGTTTGTGTGCATTCTTATGCAGCTGTCAATGAAACACAGCTCTTGCCTGCAGGTCACAATGTTCTCCTGTGACTATCATCCGACCATTCTTCTTCCAGCAAAACATCTGCTGCTGCCATCTTGACACCAATTGTCCACTCAGTGTTCAGCAGGGTCGCTGCTGACTCTGATAGGCTCCTCCAAGCTTTCCCCAACCCCCAGGTCCAGATCCCTGTGGAGCTTTATGACTTTGGCTTTCCTAGCCCTTTCCCCTGTTATCTTTTCCTTTCCTAGGTCTGCAGTTTTATCTTTATTATTAAATATCATCCTCTTCACATTTTCTCTCTCCTTCCATTGTAAACATTTTCACATTATCTCACTTAAGTCTCTTGCAGGTGGAGACTGCAATTTTCACTTCAAGTTTCTTTCCTCATTGTTCAGAGGATCTTACATCTTAGCACATCTCTTATCTGATGAATTTAGCACTTTAGTATCTTAGCTAATATTCTACTGATGGGTGAGAAGGAAGTTATCTGAGTCCAGGTTAACCTACACCTTCCCTGCCAACGATGGTGTTAGATGTTTATTATTCCCTTGTCTTGTTGACACAATGAATTTGCCTTTTCCTTGCTCTCACACACACTTCACTGCCTTTAAAACACTTGTGATTTGTGAATAAGATGCCCAGGCAGGCTGGTTACAGGCTTGGCCTGGTTGAGTATTTTCCTAAGCCTGTTTATCTGTTCTTCGTGTTTCAGTTAAACATCCTAGGAAGGTTATCTGTCAATGTGAAAAAACAGAGTTAAATGATGAGAAAGTACTGCCCATGGGACAGTTTGTACGACTGCGATTCTACAATTAGTACTCAAAATCTGCATGAGAAAATGTATCCCTCCAGATCACTCACCGTTTTTCCAAGGCATGCTATGGGCAGGGATTTACTAAATGGTTCCTTAATTACATGCAGAATTCCAATTCTGTCCTTGTGCACTCCTCTTTGGCCCTTTATCCATTCGTGTTTCTACACACACATGCACAACTAAAGACACATGGCATTTCCCTTTCTCCTACGTACTCACCACCTATGTTACTCAGTCTATAAGGTCACCAAAGAATTGCACAGTAGCCTCTTTAATGCAGAGCCATAGAGGGAAGATTTAACTGTGGAGGGAGCCTAGGAAGAATGCTTAGGCTATCAAACAATCAAGTTCTGCTCTGATTCCTTCCTCATCTACCCCCAAATTTCAAGCACAGGGATTCTTATTTTTTTCCAACCATGTCCAGTAGAGAAGTTTTAATGTTTATCCAGAAAAATGGCATCTGCACAAATTAGAGGTGGAAGGGCTGGAAGTATAATTCAGTGATACAGCCCTTGCTTAACATACATGAGGCCATGGGTTCAACCCTCACTGTGGGGGTAGGGAACCCTCACACCCCTGCACACGTTAGCTCCCTGTGGTGCACATTCATAATCCAAGCTACTAGAGAGGGTGAAGAAGGAGCATCTCAGGTTCAAAGTTCAATGTCAGCATGGGCAACATAGACCACCTAAAAAAAAACTAGTTGGGCATGGTGGCAAACATCTGTTATTCCAACACTTGGAAGGCTGCGGCAGAAAGGTCACAGCAAGTTCAAGACCAACCTGGGCTACATAATGAGTCCAAGGCCAGCCTGAATTACAAAGTGAGACCCTGTTTCAAAACACTTTTTAAAAAATTAAATTTAAATAAATAATAATAGATGCAAAAGATTATTTTTCTTCAATACTCTGTCTTATGGACCAATAAAGAACTCTAGGTCTTCACTGAAGTCACGTTATTTCAAAAGTTGCTATGTTTCCCCTTCTGTGAGTAGGG